CTATTCCTCGCTAAGAATTGATGACACGCTGGACATGCTTACAGGAGTAAAGTGGTTTAGCACGCTGGATCTAAAAAGTGGCTACTGGCAAGTTGAAATTGACCCTAAGGACAAGGAGAAAACTGCGTTCTCGACGGGAAAGGGTCTGTGGCAATTTAAAGTAATGCCGTTTGGGTTGTGCAATGCTCCAGCAACGTTTGAAAGGCTGATGGAACGTGTACCTACAGGGCTAATTGGCGATGTCTGTCTGGTCTACTTGGATGACATCATCATCGTAGGCCGTACGTTGGAGGAACACCGTCAAAACCTGGAACGCGTGCTCATGAAGATTCAGAGTGCCAACCTCAAGTTGAGCCCGAAGAAATGTTCACTATTCCAACGGCAAGTTAACTTTTTGGGGTTTGTAGTATCGGAAGAAGGTATCCGCACAGATCCAGAGAAAATCGCCGCTGTCAAGGATTGGCCGGTTCCAAAAGACAAGACGCAGGTTAGAGCATTTTTGGGTTTGTGCTCCTATTACCGGCGATTTGTGAAGAACTTTGCAGATATAGCCAAACCTCTGCACAAGCTAACCGAGGAGAAGCGACATTTCTGCTGGGATGAAAGTTGCAATATCGCATTCCAGGAGCTCAAGGACCGTCTGTGCAAAAAATTTTGGGATATCCTGATGCAAGCAAAGAATTTATAGTTGACACAGACGCAAGTGATATAGGACTTGGCGGTGTGTTGTCTCAACGGAATGGTGACCAAGAGGTCGTGATAGCGTACTTCAGCAAGTCGTTGTCAAAACCGGAAAGGAACTATTGTGTCACAAGACGCGAATTGCTCGCTGCGGTACAGTCGTTGCAGCATTTTAGCAAATATCTTCTCGGACGAAAATTTCACTCACGAACTGACCATGCTGCACTAAAATGGCTATTGCAGTTTAAAAATCCAGAAGGACAAGTTGCGAGGCGGATTGAACTACTGCAGGAATACGACTTTGAGATCGAACATCGCAGCGGAAAATCTCACGGCAACGCAGATGCATTGTCAAGAAGACCTTGTCCTGAAGATTGCAACCATTGTACTAGGCAAGAGAGTAAGGAAGAGGTATCCGTGAGGATGCTCAGGACGGACCACCTCAGCAACGAATGGAAGAACAGCTTACAACATGCACAGCAGGAAGATCCGGACATCAAGCCGATTCTGGAATGGATAAAGGCCAGTGCTCCCAAGCCTAAGTGGAGCGATGTCTCAGCAATGAGTTCTATCACTAAAAGCTATTGGGCCCAGTGGGACAGCTAGCTGCTTCAGGATGGAGTTCTGTGCCGTAAATGGGAAAATGTTAGGGGAGACAGCTGTCATTTGCAAATGGTTGTCCCTAAAGCTAAAGTACCGGATGTTCTACAGTTGTACCATAATGATTGTTCCGGAGGCCATTTGGGAGTTAAACGAACTCTACTGAAGATCCGCGAACGGTTTTATTGCGTCCACTGTCGAAACGATGTCGAGGACTGGTGTCGCAAATATACAAGTTGTGCGGCTGTAAAGGGACCTCAGACTCGTAGTAGAGGTGCATTGAAGTTGTACAATGTTGGTGCACCATGAGAGAGAATAGCTATTGACGAGGCGGGGCCGTTTCCGGAGAGTGAAAGCGGTAACAAGTATTTCATGGTTGTGATGGATTACTTCACAAAGTGGCCAGAAGTTTTCGCCATTCCAAATCAAGAAGCTTGTTGCACAGTTGCAGATAAACTAGTTCATGAAGTCTTCTGTCGTTTTGGAGTACCTTTAGAGATTCATAGCGATCAAGGAAGGAATTTTGAGTCTCAAATATTCCAGGAAACTTGCCGAGTTATGGGTACTCATAAAACAAGAACGACTTCTTATCACCCGCAATCTGATGGAATGGTGGAACGATTTAATCAGACATTGGAGAGGTACCTAGCAAAAGTTGTAGACAATCGGCAACGAGATTGGGACAAGCACATACAACCGTTTTTGTTGTCATATCGAAGTTTTGTTCACGAAAGTACAGCAGTGACACCAGCTTTCGCAAACTTTGGAAGAGAATTACGGCTGCCGGCAGACCTGCAGATCACCGGGATACCACCTGATACCCCACGCAGTATAACCGATTATGCAAATGACTTGCGGAACAAAATGAATGACATTTATGAGCACGTCAGACAATCGGGCCAGCAAATGTCTGAGAAAATAAAAACCCGGTACGACCGCAAAATGAACAATAAAGGGTTCAACGAAGCTTCATTAGTGTGGTTGCACAATCCAGTCCGCAGCAAAGGGAAATCTCCTAAGCTTCAAGCTAAATGGGACGGCCCGTACCGGATTGTAACCAGGATCAACGATGTGACCTACCGGATACAGAAAGGCGCAAGAGGGACTCCTAAGATCGTCCATGTGGATCGCTTGGCGCGTTATTATGGGACCGATAATGCTCGGGACGAGCATGTCTTAGGAGGGGGCAGTGTTGCGTGAATAAGTCAACTAGCGCCATCTAGTGTCAGGAACGAGAGCGAGGGGAGCTTTGCAGAAAATGACATCACAAATCTCTCAACCGACAGCGCCATCCGAAGAACTAAGTTTCTAGAAAATCTACACTCGCACACTCGTCCCTTTGCGCGCATTTACTTGAATATTCCGGATGCTTCTTTGCTAATTTATATTAATAGGCGCTGCAAGATGCGATCGAGGCAGTGATGATTTTGCGAGACAAGCGAAGCTTTGGAGCGGAATAAAGTGAATTAGTGTTTTTAATTATTAGTGTTTTAAGTTTTAATTTGTATAAAGTAAATTAAAGTGTTAATTTAGGTAATTTTATCGGCAATTTTTATTGTCACGAACCTCAAGCTCGTAACAATATATTCCCACTAATGCAACCCTAAGATATACACACAAAAAACTTTGTGATGATAAGCAAATGCTGATATATTTTTAAAATTTAACTTAACAATAAAACAACAATAAAAATAGTTTACATTTAATCTTTATTTTAAATAAAAATACGCTGTCGAAATAATTATCAGTTTTATTTTTAATAACAAAAATTGAGTAATTCAATCCTTATATAATTGTAACATAAATTTGATGAAAAGTTAAAGATTGCTTAATTAAACTTATACAAAAATTTATTGATAAAATTCTCTTATTTAATATAATATTACTCCTCCCCTAGCTCGAAGACATGCAGAGATCCGCATTCATAGTTGTATTCGATCACCATCGTTTAACTTTCTCACCTATTTCTGTCGTAAACGATCCTCCTAGGCATGCTAAGGATCAAGTTATCTAGCATTTATTGTGGTAACTTGTCCCATTCTTGAATGGAGGCTTTCCAGATCTCTGGCGCTGTCTAGCAAGGTGACTGACGGTTCCAAACAGCCCGCTTAATCTAATACAGGACATCTGAAAATCGCGACCTTGCACTTAACACGTAGAAATGAATCTTGTAGCGTCCCAAGTCGTCAAAATTCCCGAGCGGGATATTTACGAGGCCCAGGCAACTTTTAAACGGCAACAGTTACTACCGACTTAGCAGAGCCATCGTCTGTAAAATCTCTATTGAACTCAAACTTTCTTTAATTGCGCAGATATTCGTTTAAACCTGAGAATGAACAAGAGTCGTTGTATCTGCACTAGTGATTATGAGATACTTAATTTGTAAGAACCTGGGAAATTTTCTTTATTTAAGATTTCACTTTAAAAGAAATAAGATGAAAATTTGTTATTTTAAAAGCTTTAAGGTGAAGATGTTAACGGAATAAAACTTTTATCTTGTTTTTTTTTTTAAGTTAATAACCTCACTAATTGTTCTCTTAAAACAAAATATTAATTATTATTTGATTCAGCCGACTTCAAAAAAGAGGGTCCTACATTTTAACCTTACGGTTGTTTTGTTTTATATGTATTTTATGTGATATTTTCACCTATTGAGAACTAATTTTATAACTATTTTATTATTGAGGAGATAAGGAAATCTCATTAAAAAATAGAGAAAAAATAGGGAATGAAGTTTTAATGTTTCTCTTCAGAGGACATTGAAATTGTGGTATTTATTATTCAACTTAAAAGTGCAAAAATAATAACTCTTAAGGCTGCTCTCTCGAAAAAGCTTGAAAAAAGCGTGCAGATGAACCAACTTTTCGTCGGCACTTACAGAGAAATTACATCTGAAAAAAAATAGCTGGTAATCTACATGATATGGATACGTAATTTGGTTCAGCCATCATTTTTCTATCGGTGTCACATAATAAATAAAAAAATACCCAAATCACCTCCAAATCGTTGAGATGAAACCACTTTTCTCCTTCATTTTTATCAAAGGAATATAAAAAAATATCCACTGCTTTGCAATACAAAATAAAATAATTTGGTTTGGTTACTTTTTAGAAATATGTATTATTTTTATGATAATAATTTAAAAATGCGTCCCGGTTAAATACTGCGTCTATATCACCCCCGCACTCGTCCACGAATTCAGTGCGAGGCCCATCGTGTTGCTAGGTGGACGTATGCCGCGTTACGAGAGCTCAGCACTTCGAAATAAAATCGTAAAATATTACTGCAAAAATTTACTTTAGTTTGTAAAACATGGAAAATAAGCAGAAACGATTGAAGAGAGGTCTAAAAATATTACAAACAAAAGGGTATACATTTATCAAGGTAAGTTTTATCTACATATTTCATAATATTAGACAGGTGCTGTTTATAAAATACCTATATTCAAACAAAGTCGTCGTAAGTATAATACTTCTGTACCATAGAGTAGTGAATGATCACAGAAGGACCATATTCACGCAATACTTTCAATACTTTTAGTCAATACTTATTATAAATTTTTCTTTTCGGTACTTATGTAAAGTATATTTATTTATTAATTTATTCTGATCCGTTGTGATTATTTATGACAAGTTAATTTTTTTGCAGGTCTTGTTTAGCTACAACTACCGACGAAAACTATGGCAAAACTGAAAATGCTCTTGAAGTAGGTATTAATTATGATTATAGGTAAGGTACTTGCTAGTAATCTGTTAATTTATCGATTATTGGCTTCAATATTTTCAATAATGGATTATGTTTATGTTTTAATTTAATCTTTTTTATTTATTCATTATATAGTTTATTTGTTCATTATATATTATACAAAGAAATAAACTTGACATGAAATTTTATTTATCTAATCATATAAATATTTTTTAGGAATGTTTTGATGAGGTAAATCAAATAAAAAAATCACTACCCTTATGTAGCGAATCAATTAGCTCTATCAGAGAAGTTGAAGGTGATTCTATGGATTTGGAGGTGAATGTAAGTAATAATTTGTAATAACTACATATACATATTTTATTTTTATTGTAACTATATGTATAACTGCTTTCATTTTAGGCACAAGATGATTTCGGCACTCAACAACTACGTTCTCCACCGATTGACATGTTGATTCACAAGCATGTTGTAAGGTCTGTTGAAGAACTTGAAGATTATTTAGCTTCTTGTGAAGTATGTACTATCGATTTGATCTTACATTGCACTTAAACATCTTGAATAATTTAATTTTAGCTTAAAATCATACTAATTATTTACAGGTAGACACGGCCGAATCTTCTGAGAAAACATATCAACTTGAAGGTCGAAGAATACTCAATTTAAAAACATTTTATTCAAAATTACAAGAGGTATCTTCGCATGGACCTTTCAATTGTGGTCTCGGTAACGTGGAAATTGTTTCTGAAAAACAAACCGGTTATACAAGAGAAAAAAAAATGACAAAGAGAAGGAAATATAACTTAGGAAAGAAAAAGAGGTTGAAGAGAAAAATGAAGACAACGAGAAAGAAGAAGAAAAAAAAGAAGATTTAGTCGGGCTATCGAAATTTCCGAATGTAAATATATGTGAACACGGAGAAATAAGTGAGGATGAAGAAGTTTAACCAACCAAAAGAATAAAAATACTTGGTGAAAGAAACTTAAATTTCAGTGAATTTTAGTTCTATTCTATTTGTTTATAAAAAATAAAACATATAATATGACATAAACTTGTGATAATTCTACCTACTCACCTACCTACACTACCTACACTACCTACCCTACCTAGAAACCTTTCTCAGACTTTAAAGAATATTTGATAAAAATATATTAACCGAGTTGGTCCAGCCATTCTTGAGTTTTGCGTTTAGCAACACATTTAGCCATTCATTTCTATTTATACAAAATATAATTAAAAAGATACATCATGTTTCAAGCCAGGCTGATTTATACTAAAGGTATAGTTTCTACCCGCGGTCTCGAAAGCGTTTAACAATTTTAGTCGTAACTATAGCCCGAAAAGTACATCCATGTCAATAGATAATAAATAAAAACAAAATTGGACCACTATAAATTCGCTGCACATAAAAATTAATTTAACTTTCACGATGATTTGACCTTCTGTGATTTCACCACTCTGTGACGAAACAAAGCGCGGCAACGTAAGTGGCGGCAAGGCGCGGGCCGCGGCGCAACTTTTCTGTCGCATGCGGGTAGCGGAGTGGCGCGGAGAGGGGTCGTTAGCTCCGCCCAAATGCTGCACAAGGCCATTAGCGTGAATACAAGCCTTAAGAAATCCGTACTATGATATAGTGCATAGACCAGTGTAAAAATTGAAATTTTGTACAACCAACTACAATATAAATAAAATAAGAACGTCATCAATGTAGTCGAAGTCAATTAAATACGCTTTATTAATGATAACTCAAAAACTACTTGTCAGATATTGTTTTTATAAATATTATTGAATCATCAGCTTTCAAATAAAGAAAGAATCATCGAAATTGCTTCACCTATAAAAATTTCTGAAATAAAAAAAATTCGTTGAATTGAGAACCTCCTCCTTTTTTAAAATCGGTAGAAATATTAGATTTTCGACTTCAGAATATGAAATATTTTATCCTTTTTAATTCCTTAAAGTTGAGTTTAACTTCATGTTACAGCTATTTAAACAATCCTTTTAACTTTCGAACTGGGGGACACAGCGAGATCGTTTACAACAGCAATAGGGGAGAAAGTTAAACGGTGGTGATCGAAGACAACTATGAATTGGATCTAAGTGGCGAAATAAATATTTTCTTTCTTTGTTCTTCTTCTTCTTCACGAGCACATAAAATCGTGGTAGAGATTTATAGTAGATGTATTATGCCTGGAGTAAGATTGAACCAGCTCGACCCGGGAACAACATGCTAATTCAGAATACCTGTGTATGGGATGTGAAGAAAACCGAAGACCCTTTTTTAAAACGAGGATTTCCATCGCAGTTATTAGAAAAAAAATTATGAATAGAGGTAGGAACCATCATCTCATCTATTTCTGCCACCAAGATTTAGTACGAATATTCCTGTATTCCAGTTTGAGACGTAGGTACACTTAAATTTTAAAAGAGTTTATTAAAATAAATGTATAAAATGTAAATATCCGGAAAACTTTTGGTTTGAAATCTATCACAGATTAATGCCAGTAAAGAAGGGAAACATTTACTTGACATAATATTTCCTACAACAACGCAACATTTAGTAGAATACTAATATATCGGAAAATGTTCATGTTCCCGACGTTTCTTCATTCAAATGGTTGTAGAGTTTCACGGCCTGTACTTGACAGGAGAAATTATGATTTAAGGATCAAAAATGATGTACCCAACTGTCATACAAAATGTGGAAATGATAAATTTAAAGTTTTTTTTTATTATTACTACGATTTAGCAAGCTCCTTTTGTGTTTATGCCCGATCGATATATTAACGAAACGTTTTTTGTAACGATCCGTTTGATTACATACGATATTACAAGCCCTTCATTCAGCAACTTATGATTATTTAAAATAAAAAAAAACTTTGAACGGTTCTTATATACTGGTATTTTGTTTTAAAAAGAGGTTTTCATGCACTACATTTAATGCAAATCGGCTCGTAAAAAAATCTAAGCGTTTTAAATATAGAAAACTGGACCGAGATCAAAGAAATCTAATATCGATTAGTTGCACATTTCTAGTTGATTTTAAAAATAGAGGTAATACACTTTTAGCTGATTTCAATAATGTCTTTTATATGTATGTTTATTGATATGTTTGTTAATTGTGAAATCAGCCATTCCGAACATAGGTACGGACAGACAAAAAATTTAAAAGACTATTTCTAAAGCTGTTTTCTAATGCTATTAACCCCTCTGAGCTCAACAAAAGCCACTTATCTTAATATTACAGATAAATACTCAACTTTATTTATATGACATACGAGTAGATAGTTTTCACTTGAATTATGCATGAAAACGTACTTGGGTAACCCAACCATAAAATTTATTGCTAACGAATTATTTTTACGTCAGCTTGACGTATGCGACGTAGCCAGTAGATCAGAATCCTAAATAATCTTTCCAATCGTCTTAATAACCCGTAATTTTGCAGACGTATACTGACAGCCATGCAATGAATTTTTAACTATAATCTAGTATTTTATTAAGAACATCATGGCTCATGATTATCGCGTGTTTAGTTTTTTTAACTCATATATTTTATTTTAAGTCTCTAACGTCAATAAATATCTGTTAGTAGAATTTAAAACTTCTTTAAATTCACCAAAAAAAAAAAGTGGAATTATCAGGTTAGATATTTATTTGGATACTGAAATTTAATATTTATCAAAAATATTTAAAAAAAAACTAATACTTAAATTTACATATCTGCTTACGCTAGGCAGAAAACAGACTAGCGACGGCAGGTAGCGCTAAAGGTGTGTCTGGTAAAAACAATAATAGAAATAGAAACTTTCTATTTATTTAATATTATAAATACTCGTAATAAGTATTGAAAGTCACACTTATGTATATTTTATCACTGTTTCGGAAAATACTTCTGTCTTTGGAAGCACAGCAAGAAACACAACGAAACTTTTTTGTTTGAGTTGTTCACAAGCTTGGCAATAAAGGCGAATTCTCCTTCCAAAGAATTTAATTGATTACCGTGAGACTTAAGCGTGTTGTTTGTTGTCAATTCGGTAAAATTCGAAAAAAATTTGGTTCACCCTGCAGGCCATCCCTGGAACTTCCCGCTAATTTCGAATGTAAAGCTCTCCAAATTTCATCAAATTATGTTGCGAAATCTCAAAGTTATGTTAAAAAAACGTTTTTTTTTTCAAATTCTTTCTCCTACGATATCTCACGAACAAACGAACCGATTTTTATTTTACGAACGGCATTCGTCGTAATTTTTTGAGGTTAAGAGTTGATTAGTTTTTAAAACCGATCGGTAAAGCCGTTTAAAAGTTATTCAAAAAAAAATAGTTTTTTGAAATTTTTATTTTAGAGATTTCTCAAAATGTACTCGTTTGAATAAGTTCATATTATCACCAAATCTATTCCATTTGAGACGTGAGAAAGACGTGAAATTAGTCAGAATAGCTTCCAAATCCTCAAAATGTCAAGATCTGATGAAAATTCGATTTTCGAAAATCGGGGTGAAACCAATAACTTTCCTGTTTTTGGAAATTTTGAATTTTCTTAGCGGAACGTTCAAAATATGATAATTAGAAATAAACCATATCAGTACAAACATAATATATCACACGTAGTAGAGCCATCATCGCCTAGCAGATATATGATGGTTGTAGCGCGAATAGGTTGGGTCAACCGAGGAAGGACCATGCTTTCACAGAATACCAGCGTAAAATAGCAGTTTAATGATGCTGTGTTTTGTATGGCGAGTGTTGAAAACCGTATACAACTTTTAGTGGACACTAGGCATTATATCTTAGTTCTCAACTCTGACAATGTATCTGCATTTTGACTGTGGACTGTGTGCTCATTTTTCACCCCATTTACTATCAAAAAAACACTCATAGAGATCCAACGTCTTGATCAATTCTATTTGTAATATAGATACGTTTTGGTACGATATAATAAACAAAATATTTATTGAATGCACACTCTCTCACAGAATTTTTGTCTGTTATCTGTGTTTCTCGCAAAATACCAGGGTAAAATATTAGATTGATGATGCTGTGATTCTAATGGTGATTGATGAGAACCTAAGAATTTTTTTTACTGGTAACTAGGCACTCTATCTTATTATCTATCTATAGGCCACAGCATTAATTAACAATGAAGTGAACTTATAAATAAAATATATTTCAAATTATTTTTATACAACTGTGTATTCTTTTGGCATCCTTATCCTGTAAAAATTAAATATTAAGTCTGTTGGTCTCCCTTGACCTGTCCTTTTCAAATATAATATAATACAGTTACAATGAGAGTAATTACGTTATACTATAGTTTCGTATGCTTGTAGTTTTAATCTATCTTCAAAACACGAATGATTCATCTCCGTTACAGACTCATCTTCATTTATCATTTGTAATTGAAGGGTGCCCTCGACGTGAAAGTGCCCTCCCGCTGGAGTTTATAATAAACGTATTTGAAGGATTTAAAAATTGTATGGTACGGACCAAGTGATTAATTACGCCACTATTTATCATGTATATGAAATACAAATTATGACATACAAAACATTAAAATGTATATAGTATTAAAATACTATATTAAATAAATACGGTTGTCCTTACAAGTCCTCCTTGCAACTTCCCGTTAATTTCAAATGCAAAGCGCTTTAAATTTTACTTGTCACGACGTTTTTGAGCTCGTAACAGATTCATAATCTGTACGAGGTAATAAGGTTTTGATGCTACCGACACAGTTTTTTCGACTCAAAAAAAGCATATATAACAAAAAAAAAATGATTTTACGGAAATTTTTCAAGTTATGAAAGAACACTTTTTCAAGATTTGTTTCGACAACGATATCTCTCGAAATAATTAACCTATTTTGATGCGATTTA